GTTTTACTAAGACACGCACAATAGTGTATTACAGCATGTCAGCAAGCATGTTGCAGTGAAAAACATCATTTCTATGTGGCTGCATTCTGGCAGGACTGAGAGTTGAGAGTGGGTGTGTTGTGTAGGCGATGTTCTGTTGGTGTGTGTGTGTGTGTGTGTGTGTGTGTGTGAGAGAGAGAGAGAGAGAGGAGGCAGAAAGAGAGAGTGGGGGTGTGGTAGGTGATGAGCCTTCATGTGTGACTAAAGACTCACAAATGGGAGGAGTTACACCTCATGCCTGTGTGTGTGTGTGTGTGTGTGTGTGTGTGTGTGTGTGTGTGTGTGTGTGTGTGTGTGTTATACAGAGGGCTAGTAGTTCCCATCCTATGTTTAGACCATGCAGGTAAAAGTAAGTCAATTCTGTGAAGCAGAAAGTCCACACACCAAACATTATTGGAAATAAGTAACATTGGTGGATCAGCAGAAAATTCATTTTATTGGGTTTTTACTGTTTTTACTGTCAATGTCAAGGCTCGAAATCGTTGTTTTGGGGGGGTATTTCATAGACTAAACTTTTAATCAATTAACTGATACTAAAAATAAATAGCTAACATCACAATGGGCAACGTCTGTAGACCGTCTGTTTTTACATCACATTGACATCATGGTCAACTAACTAGCTGTTCTCCTGATGAAAACCTGTTTGGGTCTACTCTGTACTTTGTCCTATGTGTGTATCTACACCGAATCATTTATTTTCTTCAAAATTTGGCTGTATGATGTTGAACAAAAATCTCCATGTAAGCTAATTTTCAACACTAAAGTAAGCTTTAGAAGAGCATATTACTCTCCAAACATTATCTGAAAAATGTAAAAAAAAAAAAAAATTAAAAAAAGAGAGAAGAAGCTTGGCAATTATCCATTTTGTAGTTTATTTAGCACATTTTAAAGGTTTTCATAAGAAAAAAAGAGGCTAGTATATTGAAATAGTGTGCCAGTGATCAGACAACAACTCTTACAAACTGATCAAGTATAACCAGACCCTTATAGTCATCAAACTTCCTCAGCTCGTAATGGAAGGTTTCAGTTAAATGTAAATCAGGAAAAATCACCTGACAAGTACTTGTGCTTTGAAGTACAGAGAAGTTGTTTAATTTGCAGAAGATTGCTGACTAAAAAGCAGTTACAGAACCAAAATCAAATGAAACAGCAGTGCAGTGGAGCCATGCAGCAGTGGAGCCGCTCCTCCTCCTCCTCCTCCTCCTCCTCCTCTTCCGACCCCTCAGTTGTCCCGGGACCCTGCTGGCCAGTGAAGCGCAGCCTCGAAACCAGGGTTCTAGCTAGGAGTCACAGGAAGGGCAAGCTCATTAATTATCTCTCCCTCTCTTCCTCCCTCCATCCTCCCATCACACCCTCCCTTCATTACCAGCAAGGTTAATCCCCCCTTATCTCCCAATGAGCCTCATTTTTCATGGCTCCCTGTCTACGACACTTCCTCCCTCCCTTCCCTCGTCAACCCCTTTTCCATCCCTTTCTATTCCTCTTTCTCTTCCTTCACAGTTGCTCCTCAGAGTTTCTTCTTCTGCTTTTCTGTCGCTAGTTTTGCCTCATCCCACCTAGTTTGTTTTTCGTCGCTGCTCCCACAAATATTCTTTATTTCCTCTGCTCTGTCATCTCCCCTTTCCTTTCCCCTCCTCTCGCCTGTGCTTACCTTGAACAGGCCGTAGTGAGTGGAGAGAGTAGATCTATTACAGCTTATCACTAAAAGACAGGCCAACGCCGCACGCCGGTGAAATATGGCTGCTGTCACAGCCACCGCCGAACACGACCCGTGCACAGAGCTCGCAGAGCTGTAAGGACAGGGGGAAGAGGGGGGAGGAGGGTGGATGGGGTTACGGAAGCCAGTATCAGCCCCCTAACTCAAATTAATGGAAAGATTTTCAGGCTTGATGCCGACCGTTTGACAGTGATTTGGCACACAATTAACCTTGTCTCCCTCTCCCCTCTGTACTCTCATCACCTCCTCGGCTTCATTCACCGCCTTGTTTTCCCCGACTCTCTCTATCCCCTGTACCTGTCACGCTCCTTGACACAGTCTTATTGATTATGAACCAAATGGGGATGATGATGTTTTATTAGATAACTGACACTCCCTACTGTTGTATGCCAATTGAATTAGCTCTGAATCACCAACATCCACGTAGCGTAACATGATGTGACTTGGCCTCATTTTAGATTTCACACAAAGCACACCATTCACAAATTCACTGCACAAGTGTGAGAATAGTTCTCATGACAATACCATAGCATTGGTGGACGACATCAATGTGACCTGAGCATTATTTTTACGGGAAATGCAGCTTGACAACATGAAGAGCAGACCACTGGGATTTCTTTTCATGAGTGTATGACTTGTGATTTTTTTTTATGTCAGCCCAAGCCTGCTCTGTGTACTGCAACATCTGTCCAAAGAATGATGGATTTCCACTCACCGACCTGTTTAAAAGACCATCCGTCCTGCAGCCCCTGCCTCTCAGCTAGACTTTACTCACTGCTTTTATAGGCCATTTCACCTTGGGTTCCAGGTCACGGTACCAAACAGCCTATAGCTCTCAAACAGAGGAGAGCAACTGGAGTGTTAAAGAGGGACAGGGGAGGTGTATCAAGAAACGAAATAGAAGAGATGATGTGTGAAAGAACCAGCTTTAGTAATAGGAAAGGCTGGTGTAGAGGCTTTATTGTAGTCTGAAACAAGTGCATTCAGCTCTTCAGAGAAAGCAACAAAAAAAGAAAGAAAACTAGTAGGGACAGTTTAAGTAAGAAGTAAAAAAGTTTAAGAAAGTGTTAGAAATAAGAGGAAAAAGGTAAGTTACCACAGCAGCCCCTGTGATTTGTTTAAATTGCTATCATGAGCTAACAGCATGCAAACAGTTGATAAGTGTTGATTGTGGTGTAGATTTTAGTGTAATCTTGTGCCACAATCTCATATATAAATGAGATGGGAAGAAGGGAGTGTGTTTGTAGTGACAGTTTGCAGTTAGCTAAGGGAAGGAGTCTTGATGTATGTCTGTGTCAGCACAATGTTGCTGAGAGTTGATGATTATCCCAGCTTCTCTGAGACTCTGCCTCAGCACATGTGACATGGACGAACTACAGCGGGGACAAGTATGACAGTTGTGTGACAGACAGCGAGGCATGAGCGCTGTCAAACTGTGTCAAAGAACTTGCTGATGTGACATTGTTGGGTCTAAAAGTAAGATTCAGCAAACACCTTCAGTGGTGGAAAAGACTAACAAATATACATGTGAATAATACAAGGGGTTTACTATTGTAAGCCTTATCAAAATTAACAAGATGCTAATCTCCAAAGAGGTTAGTTTATGTCAGATTTGATTCATTTCAGTTGACATAGTTTCAGTCCTCAGATCTAATTCAGACTCACTTTGAAACAATCAGCAAAAACACACCTCTAAAGAAAAGCTTTCAATAATAGAAAAGTAAGAGATTTGATTGTTTATTAAATGTGAACTAACAACCACTGTATCCAGTGTACATCACACTGTAAGTGTGTGCAGTAGATTTCTAACAATGGCTGTCTCAGTGGGAATTTAATAACTGTCCCTGTGGAACAGACATGCTGGGTTACAGTTAGCTAATTTAGCTACTTGAATTCAGTTCAGCTTTATTCTTCTCCATTGCTCCAACTTTAACAAACCCCTTCAAGGCAATATCATTTTTAGAATTTTTTACAGGCTCCTGAATGCCACATGAGTTAGCATTGACAGGTGGGCGGGCAATTTTTGTGGATAGAGAGCAAAGAACTGACTGAGACTATAAAAACATCAAGGTGCAAATACACTAAATGCCTAAAGTATGATGGACACTTTCATGAAATACACCAAGCATGTTAATCCAGGTAAAAGCAATGTGAGAAATGATACTTGAGGTACTTAGAGGCTATAATGCAAGGAAAACACACACTAAAATTTAGCAGTTTTGTTTGATCATTACAAAAAGCTCTCAGATAGATTATGTAAGAGTTTGAAATTCAAATAATAATCCCTGAAGCTTGGTCTCCTCTCAGCTCTCAGTAGTCACGCAACATGTTTCCATTGTTCTAATGCAGTGTTTCCTGTAATGTCCAAGTGGTAGAGAGACAGGCTGGCGAAAGTTGCGTGCCTGGGTTTGGCCATCACTCTCATGATTTTCAATGTATGGAGATGGTGACCCTCACAGTCCATACCACAAAAACAGCATGTACGTGCACACACATCATGGATACAGTGTAGTTCAGTGAGTATTGCTACAGCACCAGTTACCCATGACTCACGACACATCCGTGTAAAGGGTTTAACACAAGGTAGGAGGGGATAAGCAGCACCCCTGATGTTTAAGCTGCCTTTGCTTTGAAGCAGATGTGAGTATGTGTGTTCTGTCTCTCTCTCCCTCTCTGTCCTCCACACTCTCTCTTTGGTTTGTGTGTGCAAGCGCATGCTGGTGCACTCATGCACCTCACAAGCGCTAAACCAAGACTATTAATGTATCCTGATCAGCCTACTGAAAATGAAGCTAATCTGCTGCGAGGGAAATGGGGCAGGAATTAGCTCTTTCAGTCCACCAGTGGTTTCCTTTTAGCATCTGAGGTATCCCGCCATTTATCTCCATGCATTTTCTAGCTGCATCCCAACTCATAGCAACTAGTGGTTGTGTAGACTGATGCCTGCCGTTCTTTCAAATGCCAAATACTGGCATTCATTTATTGCAAGTGATGATTAATTTCATACTTGTCACAAAGCCCTGATACACATGAATTGAAATTCCAGCCTGAAAATTGGCGTGTTTTTACTTAACTGAAGTTGATTAAACAGGAATTTCAATTCATCTCATTCAGTTTTCAGCCAGGAATGATTAAACTGAAATTGAATGTACTGCAACCCAAAGTATCAGGGCTATTTCCATGAAACTCTCAGTCAGCAGACTCTCTTGTATGTAAAGTGTAAATGTGTTTGTCCTTCTCATAGACCATTGTTCGAGGGAACCGGCCACCCAAAGATGCGTCCATCAATGGCCTGTTGGAGGAGTTTGACAACATCTCAGTAACACGCTCCAACTCCCTGCGTAAAGAGAGTCCACCAGGCCCCCACCAGGCTGGAAGCAGCTCCAAACCTTCCAGCAGTGGTCATCCCAATGCCCCGGAGGAGAATGGATTCAGCCATTACTACTCCCGCTACTCTTGTGACCTAGACACCTCCAGCAGGGACTTCTCTCTTGATCCCAGCAGGCCAGGCTTCTCCATAGATGGGGACTGGGCAGTTGGGAGGCACTATCGATTCACCAAGCAGAATGGTCACTCACACCCCATACGCAGCCCCTTCTACCCGGATGCCATGCCCCAAAAATCAGACTATGGCAAGCTTCCCCCGGACTACCACACATACCTGGAGAGCAAAGGGCGCTCAGCAGATGAGGTAGCCTCCACAGTGGGGAGTGGGGTGGGCTCCAGCGGTTACTATCGGGCGTCTGTGGGTGGCTCATCCAGTCAGGACTACCGAGACACTTCAGTAGGCACGCCATCTCGTGCCTCACTACACAGTGAGCAGATCAACTACCCAGACAGTGAGTGGAGCTACGGCGGCCTGCGAGACGAATATGAAAAGCGACCCAAGAGTTCCTATGTGACGCAGACCAGCCCCACACCGGCTATAAGGCAGCGATCTCGGTCAGGCTCTGGGCTGCAGGAGCCAAATGTCCCCTATGCAGCCAGCGGGGCTTTCAAGAACCCTCCACAGGCCCACCCATACAGCTCTTACACCTACCCTCGCCTCTCGGAGAGTCTTACTAACTCACAGACCCTAGCCAAGGTAACTACACCAAACACAAAAACTATGCATTCTAGTGTAATTGTGATAAGGAGTTTGACAGTGTTTACTCTAAACTGAAGAGCTTATTGTACAAGCCACTAAATGGGTACAGTGGCTGTCCACTGTTTCCACACAGTGCTTCACACATCCCTGACAAGCCCGTAGAAACATTTCAGAGAAAATTACACAGACGTATCCCCACATTTAGTCCCACCTCCCCCTGCAGTCCTTTTCTTCTTTCTCTGTATCTCTGTCATTCTTGCTCTATACATTTTTTCTGCCCTTCCTACCAGATGGATGGTGTCAGCTGTTAATGTACTCTTTCCTAAAGGGGGCAGGTGCTGCCACATACCTCTCTTCAATAGCCACTGTCTCTGCACACAGATCAATTAATGGTCATGCTGGCCATCGACCAGAAAGCTCTGAACTATAGAAAGAGTTACAGAGACTAGACAAAGAGAGGCACAAAGGAATGTAGAGAATGCAGAAGACAGAAGTGAGAGGCAGTAAAATGGTAATAATAAAAGTAAAACAGTATAAAATACCAGAACCAGATAGAATCAAAGTAGAGTAATAGTATGACTAAACCAGAGCAGAACTGCCATGTGTAATAATCTGCAACATTTTGATATTAATTGTATGGTTTTACTGTGATGAAATTATGTGAACTTAAAACATGAATATTATGTGAATATAAAAAAATGCAAAAAAGAGCAATTAAAAAATTAAATTCAGGCTTAGAATTTATCTTAAGCATATATGTATATATACAAAAAGACACACACATATATATGTAAATGATACAACCACCAAACCAACCAAACTGTTAAAATAATTAGAAACAGAGAAACAAAACTGAACAATGATATAAATCTGAAATGAAAATATTAAATAACAAATTTTCTTATTGGTATTAATATAATGTTTTGTTTCTTATAGCTTTGCAATTTGTTTGTAAGTGCACTGTAAGTATGTTGGCACTGGGAGATCGTGATGCAACCTCTGATGTGCTCCAGTGGAGCACTGGGGAGAGACTGAGAGACCCAAGAGATTCTTCCACACAGAGATTCCACAGACAAAAGCAAACAAACCCTCCATGCATTGGTGGCTGTGTAATGTGACCATATGTTTCCACTATAACTTACTCGTGGTGATTCTTTTATACCAATATTATTATTTGCATTTGCTACGGTAGAAGACATTAGAATAGGTTAGACAGTAGTAGGGGGTAAAAGATGCTACTAGACAGTGTAACAGAAGGGGTAAGACACGAGAAGAGTGGTGTCTGTAAGATGTTCTTACATTTCTCTATATATTGTGTATATCATTCTCCAAAGATTTCAGTGCCCCATTAGGTCCATTATACAGGTGTACACAGGGTACCGCTATCACAGCTCTGCACCATCCCTCCTTCACACACAGCAAGTCCAGTAGCTGAGAGGAAAACTGGGTTTGCTGATGTAGATCCCAGGGTGCCTTGATGAAAAACCATTTAACCTGCATGCTTCAGTAAATAGCCACTCATAGAAAAAAAACAGCCACGGAGAATGCAAGAGAAGCAGGATTGGAAGTGATGCCGGAGTAGGTCATTTTTTTTTAACATTTTGTTTATTATTACCACTTTTTGAAGCGTCGTGCTTGAGGAAGCACATTTGCTTTACTGAAAATGTACAGTATGTGTAAGGAATGTCAACATTTAAGACTTAACAGTGCTTGAATATTGATGCTTACAATGCTAAAAATTCAAACACCATCAGACTATATTTGGTGGATTGTTAACATTGGATTTTATATTGTAGGTATTGTTTTGGCAAATCTTCAATCAAATTAAATATAGGCCATAGTGAGGAGCTGGCTGAGGAATCAATGCTCCCTAATTTGCCTTTGTTTGGAGATTTTGCAGCAGTGGTAAGAAAAAAAACAAAAAAAAACAAGGAGTCATCTGGCAGCTTAAGAATCACTATTCTTCTCGGCTCATGGACCTTGTAACAAACCCACCCCTCTCTCTCCTCTCTTATTCTCTCCCTTGTCTTCTCTTTCCCTCATTCAGCCCACTCACACCACTGAAGTAAATCCTTCTTTTTCCCTGCTGTTGTTGGGAGCCAGTGGGGATGTAACAGTAGACAGCACGGAGACTTGGCCACACACAGACACACAAAGATACAAACACACACTCTCCCTTCCTCTCTCTCTTCCTTCCTCTCTCTCTCTCTCTCTCCCTCTCTCTCTGTATTTTGTGGCGCAGCTCTCGGTGACAAATTGATGTTGCGGCACTTTCCCTTTCTGCAGCCTTAGCATAAAACTGGCCGAACGATGTTCCACCGCGGAATTCAATTTCACAGTTGAGTTAGGTTGTTGATTACCCTGCCAAACTCAGATTAATGCGCGTTTAACCAACATGGATCAGGAGACCCTTGGCTGACAGCCAGCCAGCGGTGCTGGCCATTGATAGGGGGGCGCAAGACTGGGCCGTCCCAGCAGCAAGCCCCCCCCCCCAAACCTGCCTGAGAGTGATTGATTAAAAGAGTTCACACCATGTAATTATACACCATCCCGACACATCAATGCTCCTCCTCCTGCCCTGTCTATCCATGTGTGTGCGAACATGTGTGTGTCTCTTTGTGTAAGTGTACAGAGAAAGAGTGATAAGCACAGAGAGAGAAACAAATAAAAGAAAAAAGAAAAAGAGGAGTTTCTTTTATTATCCTCTCAGTCTTTTGAGAGAAAAATCATGCTGTTTAAGGAGCATTTTTGGCAGGTGTGGTATAGGTAATTTAATTTAATCTCTGCAGGGAGGCGGCAGTTTGCTCCGCCACTGTCTGTAAACCCAAACAAATTTCTATTTTTTATATTACTTTTCTCGGGCCAACTATTATACTGTACATTAGACATGCCAATGACGATTAAATGCCAGCAGTATTTTGCACCTATCTCCTATTTTTAAGTAGCTGTGGATTTTTACACATAAGATGTGCAGGTTCCACGTAATATGACATAGCACATAGATGGTAACTATAAAGTTCTGAGTTATGAAATGGTATGGTCATTTGTGGTTTGAGATTCTCTTCAAGGTTTTCCTGTATATGTGTGTACGCCAGGCGTATTATGAGTCAGACCAGTTCAGCTGAGTCATACAACCAAGCTTTTAATAGGTCTCTCTGAGTTAAGCTCTACATTCTCACTGTGTGTGTTTTGTGTGTGTATACTAGTATTCAGGCTCCCACACTGCTTTAAAGGAGACTCAGGTGTTTCTAGGATCTTAAGGCAGAGGCGTGTCCCAGATCCAAATGCTCCCTGGGCTCCTGGTTGATGAATGGAGTAGTTGAGGAGCATTGTGGGGTGGTAATGATAAAGTACGGCCCCTGTCCTGTGGACTAAATGCCCTATGTTAGGTTTGTTGAGAGGTAATGTAGCTGCAGACATACCTGGAAGTAGAGTTGGCATTTTACTGTGGACAGAGTGTGTGTTTGTGCAGTCACATTGATGCATCCAACACAGAAACATCCTTCAGTAACTCAAGAACACTATGCCAATGCATGAAGTACACACACGTCTCAGAGCCTGTGTAACTGGTTGTTTCTTAAACATTTCATCCACCAGTCAAATAACCTTGTCCTTGTGTTCTCTTCTCCAGGGTGACTATGAGCATCCGTTACGTGACAGCAGTCCGCAGGTTACGGGTGGTGACACCTACCCCCGAGGGCCTCTTAAGCAACCACAGAGCCACACCAAGCCTCCTGGCTACCCCCCAGTACACCTGCCCTACCCTCCTGTCTTTCACCATTACAAACCTTCACCTTACCACCACCCCCCCTCCCAGCCTAGCCCACCATACACCCCTCAGGTACAGTTTGTATATATACTACCAGAAATTTTACCAGAAAACCATGTATCTCCAAATTCGGTGTCTTGAATAATTTAGACAAACTGTAATATTAAGTATTCCTTTCCTTGGAAATTATTCCACTTCTTAAGCCAAATAAACCATAGAAAAACCCATAGAATTCTCTGAAGCTGATACTGCTGAAGATACATGGTTTTCACAGGACATCAACAATTGTGCTGTAGATTATGATTAGAAGGATGCATTTTATGTTGTTTGGGAAGTCACTGTTTTAATTAAATACAGCCTCTCTGTGTATCTCTCTCATTTTGTATGTCTGTGTTTTTCTTTTAAACACAGGGGGCCTATTCACAGCCTTCATCACCCTACATCCCCCCGGGGGCCTACCCACCTCCTTCCTGGGGGTCCAGCTCCGACACTCAACCCTCCAGAGTCTCTCATGAGCAGTTCAGAGCTGCACTTCAACTGGTAGTCAACCCAGGTGAGAAATGGACAATAAAAGATGGCCCTGAACATAAACGTTTCTGTTTTCGCATCAAAATTGAGCTGTGTTTGCGTTTGCCTACAGGCGACCCGCGGGAATACCTGGACAGCTTTATCAAAATCGGCGAGGGCTCCACGGGTATCGTATGCATCGCCAGCGAGAAACACAGCGGCAAGCAGGTGGCTGTGAAGAAGATGGACCTCAGGAAACAGCAGAGGAGAGAACTGCTCTTTAATGAGGTGTGAAAGGCTGACAGAGATGAGGCGTAACTGCAGTACACTTATCTCACACATGCTCACACCTAAAGCAGTACATTTTCACACTGACTAGATGTTATTTGTTTATACATCAACACATTTACTGTTCTGGTTTTGTGTTTTTTGCATGTGAGAATTAGTAGAGTATTTATTATGTTGTACTGCTACTGAAGGTCATTTTGCCACAAAAATTCCCCACATATGAGATGAGAGCTAGCATTTGTCACCGCTTGTTGATAGTTCGAACAAGCAGCAGAGATGAAATAGTTTTAAATAGCATCATTAAATGTGGCTCATTTTGTGCCAAATAGATAAAAATAAATCTCACCATCCCACAGCAAAACAGTAGGTTGCTTATTAACTAAAAAAATGAGTTCAGTTTGCCTCTATTTCCCTGAAATATACCCATGGCAATCAAACCACTAGCAAGTAAACTATACCATGGCTTTCGGGGGAGCTCACTTTTTCCAACTGTGGTTGGGGGGTGGACTGACCATGACACACAGTATGCTGACTTGAAAATAGAGAAATGAATAATGGCAATTTGGCGTATAGACTGAGTGGGACTAGCAGTTTATTTTCTGTTTATTTTCTGGACTGAAGTTAATAGTATTGTGCAGCCACGCTTCAATGGTGATGGCAAGAATAGCAGTATCTTTATTAAAGTGAATTAGTGATGAATCACCCTCATGCACAAATTATACATCAATAGTTGCCCAAGTTTCCGCATAATCCATGATGATGAAGATATAGAAAATAAGAAATGCATGGCAAAAATAGCATATTGTTAATATTTTAGAGAGGCCCCATAATTTCACAAATTATGTTTTTAGGGGGAACTCATGTCTCACCCTGCCACTAGCAAATTTTTACATCTGTAATTGCATTTCTTTTACCACAAATTAAGTAGTGCTCACACCTTAGCAAGAAATGTATTCATAGCTGTTTCTATTTACCGTATGCTAATTATTGAAAAATGAGCTCTGTATCATTTGCACTTGCACTGAAATAAATCATATTTGCAGACAAACTTCATGATCATGAACTTCAAGGTCAAACCTTGGATTTCCTTTATCCAGCAATATTGAGTCTATTGTGGGCTCTCTCTCTCTCTCTCTCTCTCTCTCTCTCTCTCTCTCTCTCTCTCTCTCTCTCTCTCTGTGTGTGTGTGTGTGTGTGTAGGAGAAAGAGAAAGAGAGAATATATGCATATATATGTATGTTAGCACGTGTGTACAGTGAACACAGATGTGAAGCGGTGGGCGTTCAGCTGGGAACTAATTTGCTTTGTGTAATCCTATTAATTTGTAAATGTAACCCTTTTATAGTTAAGCCTCCAGAACATGTTCACATGAGAGATAGAAAAGTTAAATTAATAAATAATTGCAATGACATGGGCAAATTGAATAAATTATTGAAAATGGTTATTTCTTTATAACACGTATTAATTAGATTTTTGTTTGTGTGTATTGATATGAATACAGTATTAAATTTAGCAATTGATAATAATAATAATTGTGTTACATGTAATATCAGAATATATCATTTCATATATATCATGGAAGTTGTCATGTCAATAAAAATTGAACAAGGAGATATATAATTCAAGTAATTTCCTTCTCTGTCTTTTAGGTGGTGATCATGAGGGACTACCATCACGAGAACGTGGTTGACATGTACAACAGCTACCTGGTGGGAGACGAGCTGTGGGTTGTCATGGAGTTTCTCGAGGGTGGGGCACTCACTGACATTGTGACTCACACCAGGTAACTTTTCATGAATATAGAAATACAATATAAGATACTTAAGGGTACCAAAAATAGCAGCGTAAAATACTAAAATTATTATGGTGTAATGATGGTGTGGAAATAGTAATAAGACTTACAAAACAGCTATCAAAATGCATTTTTACATGAGGACAAGACCTGGAAGAAGGTATACTGCGCTCCATCACCCTGACACAACCCAAAACAAAGAATAAGAATTTTTTTACTGAACCTCCTCAGCCTACTTGAAACAACCAAAAGAATGGAATTATATCTGATTTAAATGCAATTAGTAAAATCTTAAAATCCCTTGTGAATCAGTTAAGGGATGCCAGAGTAAGAGTACCAGTTATAGTTATAGTTTAACATTTTAGAAAATGTGCGTATTTGCTTTATTCCCGAGATATAAATGGGAAGATCGATACCACTCTAATATCTATCCTTTAAATATGAAGCTACGCCTTTTTGTTTAAAGAAGACTTGAAACAGAGAAACATGTAGCCTGGCTTCGTCCAAAAGTAACAAAATCCACATATCAGTACCTCTAAAGCTTGAAAACTTTAAAAGTTTAAAAATGACCTTTTTTGGTTCCTTTCTCAAAATTATGTGTGTGTGTGTGTGTGTGTGTGTGTGTGTGTGTGTGTGTGTGTGTGTGTGTGTGTGTGTGTGTGTGTTAATGTCAGTTCAGTTGTGTTCAGTGATTTGGCTTTCGAGTGTGTATTTAAATGTTGAGACACACAGGGGAAGCAACCATGTGGGAGAAAGCCATGACTGACTACATGTAAAGTTCTGGTGATGGCGGTGACGTCAAGTGGGTTTAACTGGTAACTAGCAAAGCAAAGATTCGTTGTTAAAAAACATTAGGTTGTTTAATTTGCTCTGCATCATCAGAAACTTCACAAAGATGGATGATTTCTCAAGACAACCAGTAGAAAACAAGCAGACGGATTGTAATCCAGTCCTGCGTTTGATAGTTTTAGGATTATTGTTCTCCAACTTTCCCTAATTGCTTCTCTGTTGTTGAGTCGTGTTTCTAAGCTGCCGCCTCATTGTTTTAAGCTTACTTTGTGCTTGGTGTTTAATTACAGTCATTTGCGTGGAGTGTCAGCATTAGCACTGTGCGGTGTCGGATGCTAATAACACGCTTTGGTGAGGCTGAGCACCGCTGCTACCGTGAAGTATTTTGAACAGTCTCCCACACAGATGTTTGCCTGTTTGTGTGAGTGTGTGTGAGAGAGAGAGAGTTTCAGTGTGCATGAGTGCTTTTAGACATACTAATGGAAATCTCAGTAAAGAGGATATTATTGGGCACACATGTTCTCTCTTTTAACTCTCCACTTTTCTATTTTTCTGCTCTAAGTGCAAGTAAATGTATGTATGTTTGATATTCTTAATATCACCAATCAAAACAAAGGGACAAAGAAAGTGGGAAAAAACATGTTTGTGGAATTGAACTTAGTTGCTACATGTCATTAAAAGCTTGTTATTTAATCTAGTTAGCAACCATACAAATTGACCACTTGATAAAATGATTAGGCATTATACTGAATATATCTGAGGCGATTATATAAGGGATATGGCAGTGTGTCTTTTTCTTGGTAATTTCAGCTATATTTGTCCAGGTGAAAGCTTTGTGCTATTTCTGTTAAGCCTTTTGTCTAGGAAATAACTGCTGCCTGCCTCGCGCTGTGCAAGCCTCATCAGGTCTCTGGGTTGTTGGCAGCAAACGCACACACGCCGAGATACATGAACACACATGCACATCTGCGCAGACACGAGTCAGCAGTGGCAGAACGGACGTCCATGTTCCTGAACTATTTCACTCACGTTCAAATTTCAATTATACTTTAGAGTTTGCTAATGAGCTGCACTTCACAGGGATTTTATCCAGTGCGCAAAAGTATATGTATATGTGCTCGCTGGTGCTGTTGTGTGTGTGCGTGTGAATGTTTGTGTGAATGTAGGTGCATGTGTAATTCTCCTCCCCTTGGCAACCTGTACAGGCTCATTAAAACTGTTTTTTTTAGTTTGTGTTTGAAACAATTTTCTATTTCAGTGATCCTGTTTTCTGTTCTGCTTTGTGTGTTCGTTTCTGTCTGTGTGTCTGTGTAAGGGATGTAGGGGGTGGGGTAAAGGGGGACAGTAAGAGGTGAATTGTTTTTGCGTACACGTCTCCATCCCATTCACTTTGAGTTAGCCAGTTGTTTTCCCATTAGCAGAAGGCTCATTTATCTCTTGTGATTGTAAATGCATACATGTGTGACAATAAAATCTGCTGCAGTGTGTGTATCTATATGTGTGTGTGTGTGTGTGTGTGTGTGTGTGTGTGTGTGTGTGTGTGTGTGTGTGTGTGTGTGTGTGTGTGTATGTATGTGTGTGGCCTGGAGGTTGTTTCTCATAATGCAAGTTTTTAAGTGACTACTCCAACAGTGGGATCTTTTAGACTGAGAGATAAAATTAAAAGAGAGGTGTGTGTATAAATGTTGAGCATGTATGACCGTGTGTGTGTGTGTGTGTGTGTGTGTGTGTGTGTGTGTGTGTGTGTGTGTACTTTAATGTATATGCATGAACATGTACTTGTACTATGTTTCCTTGGTCTATGCCTGCAAATGAGCGTGTCTATTTCTGCACATGTACTGTATGTGCGCACACACACTCATAAACACACAGCATGGCCTGGCCAGCTGGGTCTAGATGTTGATGTTCAGTGGAGCTGCGAGTTTCTGTGTGAGCTCAGTCAGATGCACTGCATCGCCCCGTCTCTCCATATGGGACCCTCCTGCCTGCTCTGCACATCACAGCTATAGCCGCTGCAGGCTACAGGGGGATATTTCTGCTCCATCTTAGTTGTGTTCAACTGTAATCTCTTTGAAATGACAGCAAAGTCTGAAGCCAGACTCATCCATGCTGTAGCCGCAAGAAGTACCACCAAAGAAGTGTTATTACGTGAAATATTAAGATATACCCTCTTTTGGTATTGGCTGCATGGGCTTTGTGTTGTAGTCTCTTTGGAATTAGGGCAAACATTTTGAAATAGAAATGGATTATAATAATATAATATTCACTTTTTTAAAGATAATCTTAAAGATAGTCTTCCTCCCTCACACCTTTCCCTTTCCCACAATGCAACACAGAGAAGGAAAGTACAGACTAAATACAGAAAACATAGATTGAAAAGATTGTGTAAACTGTGTACACTAAACTAAATTAATACAATTTTAAAGAAAAATGAAAAATGGAATAAAAAAAGATTATAATTATTAGCAATAACAATAACAATAAATTTAATAATGTAAGTATGACAATAAATATAATTTAATTTATACAACAAGTAAAAGTAAGTGACTACAATAAAAGTTCATGAGATGACATGGGATAATAAAGTGTGTGGAATGCTACAATAAATAATAATAATAAATAATGTATAATAATAGCAGGACAGTAAACAATAAAAAAAAGTGCCTCCACCCTTACCTCAGCCAAAAGACCCCTTCCCAGCATGATAGTTTTTGTACAGTCCCTAATTGTATAGTATAGTATAAAATTACGCTTCTCATCACATTTCAACATGTATAAAATGGTCCTATTTGTTCTTGTACTGTTAAACTCATTGCTGACACGTATTTGTGTATTTGTGTGTGTGTCTCCTCACAGGATGAATGAGGAGCAGATTGCTACAGTGTGTTTGTCGGTGCTGAGGGCTCTATCGTACCTGCACACGCAGGGCGTCATCCACCGCGACATTAAGAGCGACTCCATTCTCCTGACCAGTGATGGCAGGGTAAGTGCACATGATGGGTGTGTGTGTCTCTTCAGTATATGTATGTTTAGATATATTATTCATTCACACTCCTCCCTATGGGATGTTATTAAACCGGAAAAACAGGGATCTTATTAATACTCCAGGTATTAATAACCAATGTTACTACCGTTGTTCCTGTCACTGGTAATTTCAGTATAACACACACACAGTCTCACACACTCACTGACCTTCTTCATGGTGCCACTCCTGCCACTTGTCAACAGCCAGTGCCAGAAACTCATCATCATCAATTACTCCTCGTGCCCCAGTAATTAAATCCCGCCTAATGCCTCCTAACGAGCTAGTAAGACGTGATTAATTAAAGGATAATTAACCACTAATACGGGAGATTAGTGTCTTCTATGAAAGCTCTTCATCACAATGGGTCAGTGCACTTCTTGACATCAAACATAAAAGGTTCTGACCTAATCCACTCTGTCCACAAACCTACATGATAGAGAGTGGGATCTGAAGGTGTTGGTGTGTGTTTGCAGATCAAGCTATCAGACTTTGGCTTTTGTGCCCAAGTTTCCAAAGAGGTGCCGAAGAGGAAGTCCCTTGTGGGTACGCCCTACTGGATGGCACCAGAGGTCATCTCTAGACTACCTTATGGGACTGAGGTGAGGACGACACATAAATTGATCCACACTAAGAGCAAGAGAGCCTTATGTTTGTGTACTCTCTATATATCTATATATCTTTGTCTGTGTCCAGGTGGATATCTGGTCTTTAGGTATCATGGTCATCGAGATGGTGGACGGAGAGCCTCCTTACTTCAATGAACCCCCTCTGCAGGCCATGAGGAGGATACGAGATAACCTGCCCCCACGGCTAAAAGAGTCGCACAAGGTAAGAAAGACTTCAGTGCAGGGTTTACGACCAGGAAGCACAGAGGAAGGAAGTTTAAAAAATAAATAAATAAATCATGATTAATTAAATGAAAAATAATACATCCCAGCAGTTTGTATGGTTGCTCTAAATTACCAACATTCATACTGACATAAACATTTGTACAGACACTAACTGTCTGTGTATCTGGTCACTGCAATTAAACCTTGTGGAGCAAAAACAAAAATGTATGGCATGAACTGTCATAGAGTAGCAAAGAGAGTGGAGACAAAAGTATTTAAAAATGTTAAATTTGATAACTGTAAACAAACTGTAGTGTAAGCCCGCTATTAGCAAGGCACTACACAGAACACCAATCAGTACACTGGCTGGGTGTCTTTAAATCAGACAGAGAGGTTTCTTCCGCACCAGAATCTCTGTAAAGCTGTACTTGGGCCAGCTTTGAGCTAAATGCTAATGTCAGCATGCCAACATGTTCACAATTACATTTGCAAATAATAATAATAAAATATATAATGTTCACCATGTTTGGTAATTAGCACTAAACACAAAAAGTAAAGCTCAGGCAATTATTATGGCCATAGACCAAAGGACAAATTCTGATTTTGACTTGATGAAGGTGCTAGATGGAAAGTAAAGTTATTTAACTTCATCCTGAGGGGGAAATTTTATGACAATCCATCCAGTAGTTGTTGAGACATTTTACTAAAAACATCATATGTCAGCTTTGTGGTGGTATGAGAGGGAAAGATCATCAAAGTCATTAGGATTCATTCTCTGGGTACCATGAATGTGGTGAGTTGACAGATTGACTATATGAGCCTGGCCGCTAGCATGGCTAATAATGTGCTTTCCATATTCTTAATACTGTGTTTTTAATTTGGCAAAGTTTCACTCAGATGCAACTGAGCTGATTAATGTTTAACACAAGTTCTTTATCTAAGATCTTTGCATAAATATTTGTGTTAGTAGTAAATGTCTCTTTGTTGCCTATAATCATAGATAAAATAAAGGGCCAGAATTAAAGCAGTTCTTTACCTCTTCAGGTGTCCTCGGTTCTGCGGTCCTTCCTGGACCTGATGCTGGTGAGGGAGCCCTCGCAGAGAGCCACAGCCCAGGAGCTCCTCCAGCACCCCTTCCTCAAGCTGTCTGGACCGCCTTCCTGCATTGTCCCCCTCATGAGACATTATCGCCACCGCTGACACGCTGGCCCAAAAAACCTGGCCTCCTTGACACTAAAAACACACACATACACACACTACCAGGGTGGCACTGCCCTCACCCAGCCAAAAACACCCCACCGTTTGGTGGCGCGCCACTAACACTCACACCTGTAACCGTGAAGTAGATTAGCTAGAGGAATATCTAAGAAATACATTTTAAAAAACACACGACAGAGAAAAGAAGAAAAAAAATCTCCTACTATTTTGAAACTATGAACTGGAGTAGAAGAGTGTACTGTGTCAGAGGAACTCCATCGTCGTCCAGTAGAAACGTGTGGGCTGGCTCGCCCTGCTGCACTCTTCTTTCTTCCTAGACTGTGAGTCTTCAGCTCCATGTAGAGTTGTAGTAGCCATCAGCGAGAGCTTCAGAGAGGTGTTGGCGAGCTGCTGGCGAGGTGGAGGGACCCTGGGGCCCCGGCACTCTGCTCCAGACCAGAGCAGCAGAGGGCAGAACAATCAGCTGCGTGCAGAGAGGGGTCTTTGACTGGTAATGACTGTTGTACGGCTGCTGCTGCGTCGTCAGTCAGTCCATCTGTAGGACGGGCTGCTCAGCTGGTCAAAACGGAGACAAGCTCTCTTGTATCTCTCCTCTCACACACTAACAGTGAAAATGTATTTTAGAGAAACTTGTAAGTTTTTCTGTACAGTTTTGATAATTTGCAGTATTTTATCGTGTCGTAACCATTGTGATATGAGCAGTATTAAATAGAGTTTCTGCAGAGATCTTTCCTACTGTTTATAATCCAGTTTTTGCTTAAAAATATAAGAGATATCCCAAATAAACCCACCTAAACCTAACTGTTACTAAAAATACTAAATATATTTATTATCTTACATTTGTAGACAGAACTTCCATTAAATGTTGGAAAAAAGGGTAATGTCAGAATTTTGTATGACGTTTTAAAGTATTTATTTATTTATTGGAATTGAAGGTTTATTTTTTGGTAGTGTGGCCTTTTTTTTTGTTTATTACGTTTTTTTTTTTTTTGTTGGGTTTTGATTTACATTTCTAAAAGCGCATCGGCAGACAGTGATATCAGTTGTTATATCATCCAAGCAATACACCCAAACGTATTTATGAAACCATGAAGCCCTGTATTTACGATACTGTAAAATCATTTAAATGTAGCACAGATTGAGTGGATTTGACGAGAAAAGATTTCTTCTACGCAGACCTGTTTTCTTTTTTATTAGGAGTCTCATCCTGTTTCTCTAAATGCTAAGAGGCGCCCATCCAAGACGCCCTCCTACCGCGCAGATTTTAGGATGCTGATAAAAGGTCTCGTTTTCTACTCACATCCTCACTGTCATCATCTCACTCCTTATCCCACCTCAGTCAGACACACACTCACTATCACTGGAACTGTGCTGCCATTCTCATCTCTGGTTGGACCGGGAGAACAGTGTAATCCTCCTCCCTGCATCGTTTTTACCCATCGTTCACTGTGATATGTAAATATGACTGTGCGTACGTGAATGTGAGCGTGCATTTGTTTGTGTTGTGTGTGTGTGTGTGTGTGTGTGTGTGTGTGTGTGTGTGTGTGTGTGTGTGTGTGTGTGTGTGTTTGTCTGTGTATGTCAAAGAGCAAAAGAGGTAGAGCGTGTTTATCTCTGTACAACATCTGAAAGCGTTCGTGTGTGTGTGCTGCTGACTAATCCTTGACAATGTGTCAAGACTTGAATGAGTAACACTTATCTGTGGTGTTGGCTTGTACAGTGATATTGCATGTTTGTTATCAGTGAAGCTGGTTTTAATTAAAAAACGCCCATAAAAACATTGAGATGTGTTGCATGGATTTTTCCTTCATCTCCCTCTACAGTCTCCTCTTCTTCTTCTCTCTCTGTGTCTCATATCAAGCAGAGATTTTTTTTTAAACAGCACACTTTCAGATTATTCAAGGGAGTTCCTTTCAGTCATCAACAGTTTATTTTCCCTTTATTGTTTGGGTCTTCCATATTCTCTAAATTCAACAGTTCTCATTCCCAACTATTTCACCCTAACTTCACCTCCGCACAGAGTAGCAGAGAGACACATCCATGGATCGGTGTTGCCATAACATATGAGGTTATTTCTCTTTCTTTCCTCTAAGCCATTTTCCTCTGAAACACCATAATGGGATATTGATTTAGCTTGGACAGAGAATGGAGCTTCTCTCTCAGGGACAAATACCTCTGCCGACAGCCCAGTAAATAAAGGCACAAGTACTGGTCCCCAGCGGGACTGCAGGGCATCAATGAGGATCAAACTCAAGACTATAGTCACTGAGTTAACATTAAGGTGAATAATGTAACACATCCATATATTCTCCAAAGACCACGCTCTACTGCTCCGAACACTTAGCTCCACATTAAAGTACAGGCGACTCAACACTGTGGATTAAAATGTGTGTGTTGGTGGTCTGGCCCTAGCTTCAATGACTATTAATTGCTTCCATGTTGTTTTTTCATTAGGTTTATATCTGTTTCAGAGCAGACCTCTCAAAAGATAGGGCCACTAGCTACCACTGAGGACAATGATTTGTGACTGATAATAACAAACTGAGAGAGTCAGTATTTTTTTCTGTGACCGTGTTTTTAGGCAAAACAGTTCAGCTGAGTCACAATAAAATGAAGAGATTTAATTTCTATAATTAAAATCTATTTTTAGCAATGTGGACAATTCTTTAAAAAGCATGATTTGACAATTTTTTTAGGGATATAAAATTTAAAGAAATAAATGTTTTTTTGTGTGTCTTAGGTCTACACTGCTTATATGTGTGAGGTGTGGCAATAGGGAGCTGGATACAGGGTGAGGTATTTCTATAACGTTATATATAAAGATATAAAGGTATAAAGCACTGCCTCAGTGGCGCTGAGGCCTCATTAATAACAATTGTTACACCTGTGTGTGTTTGCTGAACATTTACTGGATTTGAACCCCTTTCGACGACAAGTTTTATGGCAGACAGTAAAAAGTGTTACCCTCGGATATGTTATTAGCCTAATTGGCTAACTGTTAGAGTTGAGGAAATGGCGACTTGCCGACTTTTGTGTAACAGTGAAAGGTCTATTGCTGGAGAAACCTGTCCGTGTGGCTGGATTTTACACCATTAAAAGAAACCTGTTGAGGAAGAACAAGGAAAGCGTATTTCGGCTTTGTGAAGTTCAGCAACAGGTGAGTTCTTCCAAATTAATTGTGTCCATGTTTCTTGTAGTTTTGGGAGGACAAGCAGACTAATTTAACGGCAGCTTGTTGGTATCTTTATACAAGGCCTCCCTCTCTGCTACCTTATGTTTCCGGTGATAAGGTTTGAGTATAAGCTGTTTAATATCTCAGGTGTATTTTAGCACAAAGCTTTGGTTACCGGTTAAAAGTTAATCACTGTGTAATAACACACAGGCTACAGAGCTAACGATGGTTAGCTCTGTAGCCTTGTGTGTGTTGTCATGGCAACCCCAGCACATCAAGGTGTCCTTGGTACTTCCGGTGCATTTCTTGATTCTGAATCAGCTTTGGAGATTTCTGAGTGTAATAACCTGCTACACATAATGATATAGTATACTTGTAGAGACTTCCTAAAATACTACTCTAAGGTCTCTGTAGTTTGGGAAATATATTTGCTGCACTACTGTTTCCTGACCATGTGAAAATATAGATTTTTTTTTTATTGGTGACAAATGTAGCTATAAGAGTTTTTTTTTAAAAAAACACAAAGTAAATACTAACTTTGTTTGTGTATTTTTTTAAATTTATTTTGAGTCTTTTTTTATTTTTAGTTACATAGTAGGCTACATTGGTGACATGTTTATTATTATTATTATTATAGGTTTATGTTATTAGGGTCGAGTGAGTAATATGAGTGTGTGTAGCATGTGGGGTAAGGAAGAAATAAATAGAATAAAAAAACGTTATAGTGATAATGATGTCATTTAAATATATATATATGTATATATATATATTTTTATAGCAATAAAATATTAATTAATAATACTATAATAATGTACAGAAATATGTCCTCTGCCATGGAGGAACCGCCATTTTTCTACAGTAGCCCAGAATGGACAAATCAAACACTGGCCCTAGAGAGGCCCTTTTGGGTATTTCATGAGTTTTGTGGCCACCGTAGTTTCTCCTACATGCTTGTACTGAGCTGTATTCAAAAAAGGCATCTTCACTGCCAGATGCCTCTAAATCCTACACACTGAAACTTTAAAGCTGTAAAAATGTTGTATTTTGAGTTAAAAGTGTGGAAAGCAAATTACTGTTGCATTCAATTTAAGTAGCAAGGATAATTGATTGATTACTGAGTCCTGAGATTACAAATCAAGTAGTAACCAAAATATTACCCTTATGAAATATAATAATCCACATTAACTATTACAACCATCTCCTGTGATGCTGCGGTTGGTTCAGGTGTAGTGGGATTAATCTGTGCTTGGTCTGAATGGGCGTCTCACATCTTGAGTTGACTTTCCACAATGAAATTCCTTCAAGATCATCTCCAACAATGACGTGGCCAGTCTAAGTGAGGGACTGGATTAAGGGCTTTGACTTTGATGTCCTGTGACTGAGGATGATGTATGACGCCCACGCTGCTGCAACAAATAGGTGTAGCTGGCACAAATGCTCTATTTATTTTCAATTAGACTTGTTCATATTGCGTTTCCTTCGAAGGCCCAGATTCAGAAGACAAAATCAATAACCTCATCCCTGCAGCGTCTCCGCTGACAGGAGTATCGGTCACCATTTTAAAGTCGTTTGTAGTCTTGTTTGATTTTGTTTTAACAACATATAGGAAAGAAATTGTGATTTTTTATTAGGTTTGAAAGATTGAAGAGCGTGCACTGTGATGTGATGGATAATAGAAATAACCGGACAGGTGTGTAGAGATGATTCCAGCAATTTATTTCAATGAACAGAAGAATACTGCACAAAATTGCATCAGCAGAGGTTTATGCATAGACTTTGATTCTGAAAATATTATACACATATTATTATTTTTTTTTATTTAATAACCTCTCTCCATTTTCATAATCACTCTCATATGGCATTCTGATAAATTCTTCACTATTTAGTATAGAATTTCTGTCAGACATTTATGCATTTCTTGCTTCCTTTTTTTTGATATGTTCCATACATTAGTGTGGAGAAAAGATTTGTCGAAGTCAAAGCAAAAACATCGCGACTCTGAATGCCACTGCACTGCACACACTACAAGACTTGTCCACTGTGAAACACTATGGCTGCATTCAAAAAATAAAATAAAAGGGACTCTTGAACAAAAAAGATATCAAGGTTAGCAAGTACAGAACCAACAATAGGTATTGAAATCATTTAGCAGCAGTTTCAGTGAGAGAAAGACAGGAGAAGAAAACAAACAGTTGGCTAATGACAGCAGAAGCTCTGGAAATTTTTCTGAAAGAGAAGCTGACTAAAAATGGATGAGGTAATAAACTAAATCCCAGTGATGTTAAGGAAAAAGAATCAGTAAGCTGTAACCTCAGGTGGGAGATTTTCAGATGACAACCACCAACCATCTGAACAAAAATCAATTATATTTTCATAAAAGCATAAATGTGTTTTTATTTTAATTAAAATTCTAATTACTGTAATACAGACTATGAATTAATGGCATTAAGATTCAATTCAGCAGCCGGGTAAATTAGATTTTGGTGGGTTTACCCTCCAACTACATCCATGCTAGGCCCCGAGCTGTCCCATTAACTTCCAGTGGTTCCAGTGGGCCTAAAGTACAGGCTACACACATTTCTCTGTCAGGGATTCAGTCCATCGTAGGGGACCTTTCCTCTGTGGTGTTAGGCCTGGGACATCAAGGAGACAAGTCTTTTATCAGGTTAGCTTTGGAGAGAGCTGAGGGGAGCCGCCGTGGTGCTGCTGCTGACTACATGTTCTTGTACATGGAGCGATCTCTGGGGAGTTGGGGCTGGGTCGCTGTCAGTTTCAGGTGGAAGTGGTAGATGGTGAGTGTGATGACAATTATGAGGGCCAAAATGAAGCCCAGTATAAGGGGGAGGGTCTCCTCCAGGCGTTCCCGCTGGTCGGTGATGCACTTGTAGGCTGCAAAACGTGGAAAAATGAACACAGTCAGCATGATGAATATGATGGACAAGGGTATAATATTCATATTTGAGAAGCTAGAACCAGTGAATTTGGGGTATTTTTGCTTAAAAAAATGACGATTATCAAAATAGTTCGACTGATTTTCTTCGCTTGACTATCAATTAATTGAGTAAATGGTCCACATTTAATTAAATGATTTCAATTAACTTAGGTGTTTTAGTTTTGTGGTGCACACACACTCAACTTTACATACATGTGTGTCTGTAAGGGGGTAAGGAAAACACCTGAACCCACAACTGGCTGCACAGTACAGTATGTGTATGTGGTTTAAAGTTGAAGGTGTTTCTCCCTGTGGACCGCAGTAATGCACACTAGGAGGGAGGCAGTGAAGCATAGCACAGCCTAGTTTACAGCAGCTCAGAGCAAATGATTCTTCCAAGGTGATTGGCTTCAGAGGACGGCCAGGTACATTGAGTATGTCTATAAAAGCTGCATTGAGGGCAAGGATATAACTGCGCTCATAAAGTCCTAATGACCCCCACCCTTCTCTCCCTTTCGTCTCTCTTGCATCCCCTCCCCCTCTTTTTTCTCGTTACCCTGTCTCCCTCTCTGCAGCCCTATGTACTCCTCACACTGCAGCAGTAACCCCCCAGAGGTGCGTGTGTGCATGTGTGTCTGTGTTTGAGTGTGTGTCTGAGAGAGAGGTCGATGCAAGTTGTAGTACCCTCACCCCCAGGATTTCTCGTCATGATTGTCATTTCTGCTTTTCTGTATGTGTGACTATAAAGAGACACACTAGCTAGTCTGTGTGTGTGTGTGTGTGTGTGGCAAAGGTTGAGTTTCTTTTTGTGGCAGCGTTTCTCAAAGTGTAGGTGGTTCTTACGTTCACTGAACATGAAGTCAGAGGCGATATCGAAGGGCTGGATCTGGATATCATACAAGGAGACAGTGATACCCTTCTGGTGGTCGCTTGAGATGAGGGTGAGAGTCTGCTGCGCTTGGCACACAAAGGAGTGCCCAGCGGGGGTCACCAGGGCCGATAGGCGGTGGGTGCTGGCTGTGTGTTTCCCAGCTGGAGAGAGAGGATGAGTGATGAATAAATAAGCATAAAGGCATTATAATGTAACTAGTTTTAAGGTATGTGTGCGATTGGCCTCAATGCAGGCCTCTGTCAAAACAAGATTTGTGTAAATTGCTACATTTATAATATATAATTATATAATATATCATTTGGTTGCCTCCACTGCGACTAAAAGCAATAGAAACAACAAAATGAAAGAAACTCTCTAAACTAAAATAAAATGAAATAAAAAAAACTTTAAAATATTTCAAGTTGACAATCACATTATTAAAACTCAAACTGAAATTTAATTTATTAAATGATGTGCAGAGTTTATTGGAGGTTGTCAGACACTAAACGGATTGTAATAATAACAATAGCATTGATACTACTACTACTACTACTACTACTACTACTAATAATAATAATAATAATAAGAATAATAAGAATAATAAGAATACTACAAATTGTTTATTAATTGCAGATTTTTAAGCTTAAAGGTCTACTAGAACTTAGGGCACTATATAGAATATGTAATAATTCCACTAAACAATCTAAATGTTGTATACAAGTGGGCGTAAATCATGAATCGTGCGTGAGTCAGCCCTCTAATTCCAGCCGAATACAAATTTGAGTTGAACTGCGATCACAGCAGGCGGATGGAAATGTGCTGACTGGCTACTGTACACAGGCTCTCTTCGGCGGGAGACTCACGGTTGTACGCGTTGATGAAATGGGATGTCTCCGAGGTGTCGTAGACGAACTGGACCTTGCTAATCTTCCACACCTCAGTGCCCTTGTCACGGAACTCCTGCAACACACACACACGCGCGCGTGTGAGTCTGGGCTTTTCCACTGCACGGAGAGGGCAGGTTGGCCCACACTCAGCAAAAAATGTTCTTAGGCTCCTGTCCATTGTCACGTCCACGTCTATATATACTCTGACGATGAGTGAAGTCATTTCCTTTAACTAAAATATTCTCCCTTACATCGAAACATAAGAACAGTGGTGACATGATTCCGCTACACAATTTGTAATAGCAAAATATGACTACATTTTAAACTAAAGACGCTCAACAAAAATGAGAATAAAAGTGAAAGTAAATATGTGTGTGTGTGTGTGTGTGTGTGTGTTGAGGTGATTAATGGCGATATGCTGGATTCCCAGGAGATGATTCAGAATCATTTTTATTGCATGTGATGACACAGTATATGCGTTATTGACCGCGTTCTCGCCCACCTTAGAGAAGTAGATGCGGAGAGTGTATGCGTTGTTCTTCCAGGTGATGTGGATCTCTGACTCCGTGCTCCCACATTTCCCCTCGATTTCTGCACCACGGGGCAGAGTGAACGACGCCTGCTCGGTGATGAGCTGCAAAGAGATACAACAAGCACGTGAAGAAAGTTGGCAGATTACGGATTGTGATGTCGCTGGAAGGAGTTTTTACGCACGAATTTACAGTGTAACCAAATATCCATAGCAGGAAGGATTACTTGAATGAGTTGTTCTTACAAACAGAAACAAGTGTCAGTTTCATTAAGGATAAAAAAAGTCTGATATCGCAAAATGGTTTCCTTTTCCTGGTGATTGTTCTGTTGCGACGTCAGCGTTTTACGCACGACTACACACTACAGAAGCAGTTTCCAAATATAATTCTAATGCTGTCAAAATACATTTCCCTTATGAATGAACTGAAAAACAGTCTTGTTTAAATAAATGGAAAGTATTTTGCATTTCAAACATTTCCCCAGTGCTGCATCCACCTTTACGCACAACGGCAACCCTTTTAATGTCTTCACCACAAAGCCACATTTTATGCAGCGTACATGCTTGAAGCAGCCACTGCGTTTCATTTTTTTCAAAGCATCCACATGTATTAAAATGCACGGGGGGATTCCTTACGTCTATCCCGTTGAGAGCGATCACGTCATATGGCACGAGGAATTTCACGGCGAACTCCACCATCAGACATGTCGTGCCGTTCTCCCGGACCGCGAAGATGGCTTTGTCTGGGTTGTTAGACAGACCGGACAGGTTCTCCCCTTCCTGCTCCGCCAGCACCACGGACAGCGCCAGCACACCTGACCACAGAATAGAATATTGGGGGGGGCATTGGTGTTAACGGGGTAACAGATGGGCGGGCTACACACTCATGCACACATGTACCAACACATGCAGAATCAGCAGAAACAGCAGCGTTACAGGATGGTCTGATTTAGCGGAAGGTCCAACAAATGTTTCGATCACTGGGATATCACCTCTGTTTCAAAGTCAAAATCAGCTTGAAACACAGGAGACTGAAATCTGCAGCATCAGGGGAGCAACAGCACGCTACTGGCTGCAGTCTAAACAACGTCAGAAAGTGACGAACTGCAACTCATCCGCTTTGCACTTTTATATTCATGTGAGGAGGAAATAACAGGTGAAACGGAACAACACACATATACACTCTGTCATACCAAGACACACGCAGAACGTGCACGCGCATGAACGCGCGCGCTCACACACTCACTGCAGTGAGGAGTCACGACAACAACACACACGCACACAAACACACACAAACACGTACACACACGCACATTCTTACCAAACAGAAGTCGGGCGCTCTCCGTGGTGCTGAAACCGAGTCGTCCCATCGCTATCAGCCTTCCCGGCGCTGAAAAAAGGGGCTAACTGACTGGGCAGCCTGTGCTGAACCCACTAAAAGAAAGGAGAGACAGAGAAGAGGAGGCGGGAGAGAAAGAGGGGACAAAATAAAAGAGAGAGAGAGAGAGAGAGAGAGAGAGAGAGAGAGAGAGAGAGAGAGAGGAGGGATGCCTCTACTCGCGCCCAGAAGTCACGCTCAGATCATCGTGAATGCAGCAAAAAATGTCTCCAGGTTGGACGTGAGATCCGGTTCGCTCTGCAGAAGCAGCCGGTTCCGAGTTCTGGCTGTCCACACCGACCTCCCTCTCCAAGGTTGACAGCTTTTAACCCAGTCACAGCTGCAGGACTGAGCCCCTTCTACGCATTATTAACAACAACAAAGAAAAACTCCGTCAGCCGAGTTTGTCTCTTGCAAGAAAGGACTCGGCATGCAGTCAGTTATTCCCGCAATGCTGTAGTCTCCATCCCTGTGGTAGCAGCTGTAGGTTGGGCTGAAATGATGTATGTCTGGAGGGAAACGCCGACAACCCCCCCTCCCTCCCTCTCTCAAACTCCACTTCTGCAAGGTTGCAGCTGAGAGTTTGTGAGACTGAGTGCTGCAAAAATCACCTCATCCTACGTGGAGACTTGAAATCCTCTTTTATACGTATTACTCGATGCAGCGAGATCGTTTAGCATTTGCTTCCGAGATTAAACATGTCTTTGTTGGGTAATGTAGAAAGATATGTTATTGAGAAACGCTTCAGAAGTTATGACACAAGTGAACCTGACACTGGAACCACTAGGGCATCATTTTTCTCTCGCTAATTGCCCACATAAATGGCATTTTAGGTCAGACTAAACTTGGAGTTTATTGGCATTATTGGCTTAATTACACTAAAGCCTGAATTATATCTTAATAATCTCTCTCTCATTTGTTCACCTGTAAACCAAAACCCGCCATAGGAGAACAAAAAACGACACGCAGAATGACATACTGACCCTTTCTGAAAATGTACTGTGCACACACACACACACACACACACACACACACACACACACACACACTGACACTAGACAGTGTTAATTTCAGATAGTGAGATTTTATTCGCTGTTTGCAGCCGTTAAAAGCAGTAATTGAAGTTGACAGACTGACAGACTGCTGAATGATATAGAGACATGAGAGATTTTATACCACAGCACGAGTAAATGCTGAGGGTGAAATAATTTATTGCACTTCACCCCTCCACCCTCCATGCAACCCCCACCCACTCCAAGAGGAGTGGCAAAGGCTGCTGAACACAGGGACAACCACATACACTGAAACTGGAAGTTAGACAGTTGTGTAGCTGCATCCAACTGGCAGGTGCTGGCTTTTACGCACATAGTTTACGCAAAGTAATTTGAATTGGTTTTCGGTTTCTCGGTCGTAGTTAAAAGCCTCGAGGTTCGTTTTCACAGCTTTTATACTTCGGTTGATAACGTCGTAAACCGACAGAAGGTTTTGCAGGGTGGATGTATTGTAGAACATTAGACATCGACGCTGTTGGATTCTCTGATCACTTGCAGGCAACCATTTGAGTTTTGAAGGTCAGTAAGGATTACAAGACACATTTTGGAGGTGAATTTAGAAAAGCAGCGTAACTGCGTGAAACAGATTATCTCTCTAATGTAGAAAGATCTAAAGGTAACGTGATAGTCTTAAACTAGTGGCGGATATGTACAAGCAAATACTTTTACGCATGACGCACTGTGGTTTCTAAGAGTTTGGCATTCTGAAATGAAAGTCAAACTCGCACTTGACAGAGCTGATGCTGTCGATGCTGGGTTTACTGCCCACCTGGGGGTGTTTTATGCTCTGAGGAAAAGTTTCTGATCGTGGCATCCGTCCTGAAGTCAACACCGAAGCCTCCTCCAACTCTTTCACGTCCTTCTTAAACTCCGGGGAGGTAAATCGGCGTAAGAGTTTGTTGCTCAGCACCGAGAAAGTCGTGGATGAAGTCGTGGACGAAGTAGGGGCTGCTGGTGCGGTAAACTGAAGAGGGTCAGCCCTGCAGGGAGATGCCTCGCGCATCCTCACGGTTCTGGATTTACGCAAAGGAACCAGTGTGCGCTCCGGAGGTGTGGGGCTGAGGATACTCGTTGGCAGACTACATCTTTTCTGATAGTAGCTGTCATGAAATCTGCGCACACCGAAGTCTGACATTTTTGGTCTTTCTGTCCCTGGGTCATTCTCACTTTTGTTGGGAAGAATGGGAGTCAGTAAGATGCCCAGGGCAGAGGGCGCGCTGGGTTGGGGGCAGTTTCTGCTGGACCGGGGTGAGAAGAAAAGAGATTTTTGAGCTTCACAACAGCTCTGTATAAGAGGCGGGAGATGGTCATCAGAGGTGGTCAACCTTTCCCCGGTTTTAGGATGCTTAGAGTTGGGAGAAGGGTCGGAAGTCCGCGGAGGGGGTTTAGGGGTTAGGACTCCGGAGAAGACCAGATCCTGTACAGGCGAGGAGGAGCAGTCATTCTCTCTTTCAAATTCCTCTATAGAGTCCATCGAAGGCAGCTGACTCTGCTTTCCCCGAGGCCTCGATTGCCGAGTGCAGCTTTGAACCAATTTGCAATCTACGCGATTACACGTTTGGGGGACATCAAGTTTGTTCACTAAATGTCCAACTTTCCTCTCAAACCTATCATTTACATCTCCGTATGTCAAACTAAGTCGCGGCTGCGCAGTTCCCTGAGCGCCTCCCTCAGCCTCACGGCCCTTCTTGGAGCTGCTGGTGAGCGCGAAGATGCACTCTGTGTGGCCGAGAAACTTTGCCACTTCAACAGCAGAGTTGCCAACTTTATTCTGCCTGTCTATCTGAAGACCCAGCCTCTTGAAGGCTCTCACCAAAAACTCAACCACAGGCGAGTGTCCTGCCACGGCGGCGTACATTAGCGCAGTGTTCCCCCAGGCGTCCACAATCTCCGGGTCTGCATTGTTCCGGACCAGGATCTTCACAACATCGAGGCAGCCTTTCTCACAGGCGTAACTGAGCGCGGTGCGCCCGCTGCCGTCCTGACAATTCACATTGGCCCCCCTCTGCAGCAGAAGCTCTACAAACTTATACCGAGTCTGACTATCGGGGAGCAGGATAGAAGAGATCAGGGGGGTCTGTGCGCTCTCTGTTCTGGAGTCCACGATTTCCCCATCCAGCGCGTCCAGAATGAACCTGGCCAGGTGGACTTTATCATTGGACATGGCCTCCAGAAGAATCTTAGTCCCTGTTTGCCCACCGGACTTCCCCAAAGCCTTCAGCATGATTCCGAAATGGGTCAAAAACCTATCGCAGAAATGTCATCTTTCTATAATGTGGAGCAGATTTGGAAGCTTCTCCCCCAAACGAATACTGACAAAACAAACCCACCACCCCTGTTTATATAGTGAAGGAGGAAGCAGCGGAGTTGCCGGGCAACGCAAACATAATTAGCGCGCTTTGTTGGTCTTTCTAATGGAAATACTTCGCTTATAATAACAATTAGAAGCTTCAGCGCGGGAGCCGCCCGTGTCCCAAGAGTGGATCTGGGATATGAATTCATCCTGCACTTGTTGACTGTGATTAGACAGCAGTGGTCATTGTTTGAGAAATAAGTGCGGGGGCCGGTAACAATAAATCCGGCCTGCAGACACAGTGTGACCCCACTTGAGACACTTTCAGCACACAATGATCGGGTCTCAGCATGAACACAGAACACTATGGTTGGCAGTAGAAATAACGTTTTCATGAGTCAAAGATGGATTCTCATAGAAATATAATGTGTGTTGCTGTTAAGGCACACAAAGGCCCTTTAAAGCCCTTTAATTTAAATATTCCTGCTACTCCATAACAACCACCTTCCTCAGAACCATATCAATCAAACAACACAAAGGAGCCACATGGTGATGTCCCATTTTACACCTGGTTTTATTGGTACACATACTATAAAACAGTATTAAAGGAGCTGGATAACAACAGTATTTTCATTGCTTTAAGTTCAACAATACAATATAAATACAAAAACACGCACAGAATGGTTTGTTGACAAGCTACAGTTCAAATAGAAAACAAAGAGGAGATACAGTAGAAACTGAGGAAATCAAATCGGTGACATTGCTCGGCAAAAATAATCTGCTTTTTTTTGACAAACTAGAGAGCCAAAGGTTACATGTAATCACACAACAGAAACATTCAACTAGTGCAAAAAAGCCTCTAACAAACATAATAATCTTAAACTACACATTATATCTAATATATATAATATATATATTCATTTATTTATATATATCTTCATATAAATAACCCCTTAATTTGGCATTTTATCAGTCATAAAATAATTTTAACTTCCTAACAGACACTGAGTGGCACATTTGAAAGCGATGGAATAAAATTTAAAAGCACTTTTACTCGTTTATCTCTGCACTAGATATGTGGTGAGAGCTTTATACTGTGTGTGGTGCAGTAAGGGCAGACTGGAGAACCGAAACCAAAAGAACAAACGAGGAAAACCCAGTGGTTGATAAATGTCTTTCCCCAACATCCAACAGACCCACTCTGTCCCGTGAGCCCTTGTATGACAGAGGACAATTGGTCAAAAAGTAAATTAAACTACATACATTCCAGTATATACAAAAACATCCCGTCTACCCTTTATGCCTGTTACAGCAGAATAAAACAACAGAAAGAAATCTTTTAAAAAGGCCAAAACACCTACAGGTGCCTTATCCCCATTTTTTTGTGTGTTTTCATATTATCAGAATTCTGACTTTTGTCATTTTGGTCGACTTTATTAGTGGTATACGATGCAAAGTGAATGCTTGGCATGATCATGTGTGCACAAATACTACAGTACCCACAGGATTACTTCATAATAGTACTTTCAAGTCACATTTCTTTCTCTGCAGTGGCTTTGTGTCCCACAGTGTCATCAGGGCTGCGTACAGTAGTGCTTCCTCAAGCTATCTATAGTCCCATTAACAGTAACATTTAGAGGGAACCTGTTTGGGACACAGGCCTTGTCTGAAATCCCTGGTGTGTATAGGTGTAGGTTGGAGCCATGTCACAGGCTTTGTTACAGATCTGTTATAATTGTTCAGTCTCCCCCGACCAAAGGCCAGCTGGGAAAATGACGAGGATTACAAGCTGAGCTTGCTAATGTGCAGTCAAGAAGCTATTAAGGGACTTCACTTCAACAACGCCTTAATGAGTGCGAAACGACTACATGAGGTTGCTTTGACTTCTGACTGCCAAAGTTCTTGTCTGATGGTGATGGGCTGGTCAATTAAAACAATGTCTAACAGCAGAATTAATATGCTGCCAAGAATGGATTCATTTTTGTATTTATTACAGATTGGGCACAATTTTCACAAGAGTTTCAAATGCAAAACTCCTCAATGCAAAGAGCTATTTGAATCCTACTTAACATTTTACTTACTGGTACATCCCCCTTTATTATATCATCTTATTTTCAGTTACGTGTTGTAACTACTAATATCATTGCCTTGGTTTGTAGGGATGCAACAATTTTAATCAATACATTAAAGGCTACACAAAGCAACCACAATTTGGTTACTATTACTGTAATATCTTTACCTGTGCTTGTGTTGGCTACTGTGATCGTCCTGATTGATTTGCTATATTTTTTACACTCTAAACTTTGAGGGAATCATGTATGTGTTAATCTTTTTTTTTGTTGTTGCATAGAATACATGATTTTGAGCCCAAAATTAGGAGTATAAAACGGTGAGTTTTGCAGATGTAAACTTGTAATGATTGAGCACAAACAATAAAATAACCGTGCTTCCCTTTCACTACTTGAAAATCGTGTATAATCATTTTATTTTCAAGTAAAAGTGAAGCACAATCTATTGGCTATTTGGCTTTAACAATGAAGGTGACCATCAATCCATCAATCGTGATCCCTTTCTAGTCTTCTGACTCAGCAAGCCTTTTTATCATGGGCTGTAACATTGCTGAACAACAACAAAAAAATAGTAATACATCTTTGTGAAGTCAAACAACTTGCATTGTAGGAATGGGTGACACAGCAGGGGGTTTGCCACTCCTTCATACAGTGATTTTTTTAAAAATACATTCTTACTGAAATACAGAAAACCTACAGTAGTGCACTGCTACATTTTCCACATTGTTATAAGGGCCTATCACATACAGTACAAAGTGCTCAGGACAGGACTGGTGTGTAGCATACAGTGTATTTCACAAAGTTTATTCATTTGTGCTGAATTGACATTAAATCTTATACATATTCTTCTCCCCTCTTCCACGCTGTCAGTTAATCGGGTACCGATTTAAAAAAACAAACAAAAAAACCCCAAAACAAACGAATCAAAAGGGGAACGGATATCCACTTCCCGTAAGTGTTTGTGTGTGTGTGTGTGTGTGTGTGTGTGTGTGTGTGTGTGTGTGTGTCCATCAATAGCTGCAGCTTGTGTTGCCCGTGCGATGCAGAGAACATTGAAGGAGATAGAAAATTTGGATCTACATACAGCGAGGAGGGGGCGCGTCTGACTCTGTGTTGCTTCGTCTCCGAGGTAACGTTTCCTCTCTCGATAAGTGGTTAAACCCCCTGTCAAACAGTGATAAGCGCCAATGGCTCAGTGGTATAATGTTGGTAGGTGGGGTAAGGGGCAGAAACTGAGTGGTGGGGGGAGGGGGGGCTACTGTGTGTTTGTGTGTGAACATGACAGAAATGTACAGAGACAGTGATGTAGGCAGGGTTTATGTCTCTGGGTTGTAGAGAGCTATCCGCGGTGGAGTGTTTCTGCACCTGCGTGTGTGTGTCTGTGTGTTAGTGTTTGTGTTTGTGTGCTTGTGTCTCGGTCTCAGTCGCTCACACCACCGTGGCAGGTCTGCGGTCCATCTCCTCCTCCAACTTCACCATCTGCTGCATGTCCTTGGCCTTCGAGGAGACAGAAACACAGTTAGACAAACACACAGAGGCAGAAATGAAACCTCTCACTAAATATCTAACAGTTGCAGAGGATCCACTCTTTGTCTTTTGTTACAGAGTTTGATCTTGAGTTGTAAGTTCTAAATGTTATATTGCTCATTAAGAGACAAATCTGTCTCTACCTTAGCAATAATCCCTTCTATTAAGTGCTCTTCCTTGCATACTTTTAGCAGGTAATATAAACCACATGCTTAGTAGGAGTGACGTGTAATGGTTGCCACAAAATGTCTGCAGTGGGACACTGTCACATACTATGAAAGCAAATGATTATGAGCTGGAGTGAAAGCACAGTGGAGCAGGATGGGAGCTGGCTGTTTTTGCTTAGTAATAGCTGGTGAGTCATAGTGATAAATGACTCAAGCTGCTAGTTGGCACTGCTGACACTCAGAGAGCTGCAGACTAAAAATGTGGGAATGGGATTTCACAATACAAAGAAAAATTCATCACTCTCTTTCTTCATTAAATCTCGCAATCTCTTCAAAGACAGGCCTGGCGTGTACTATTTTCCTGCTTTACTCAGTGGTGATTCACCTCAAGAGTGCTCATTATAGTAGTCATTTAAATGGCAGGAAAATGCAGATTTGTTTACAAATAAAACAGTAACATGACTGAGAGGTACAAGGGAAAGGGATGGAAGGTAACATGATCCCTACTGACAGAGAGGTGGTATGAGAGATAGAGTTGAGGGAGATGAAGGTGCCTACCTTGAACCTGTTTGTTTGCATGGTGTGATTTCAAAAGCTGTGCCGGAAGAAGCAAATCATATTAAAAACAAATGAATATGTGCATACATGTAAGACATGTACAGGTAACGGAGTGTGGCAGATGGCAAAATAAAATGGAGAGATGGAGATATGAGACCCATATTTGTAGTATGCATGTACTACATGTAGGGCACAGAGATACTGTCCAGTAAACTGTTATACTGATTTAACAATTCAGCTGCTATGATGTTGCTGTCAAAGGACAGTCGAGACTTTGATTCTTTAATATGGACTTTGTATTTTATTCTTTGGGAGCAGCATTGTTGTTTGTCTTTAGAGTCCCTTGAGGCAATTATGATACCAGCTATGTGGAACACTTCCTGCAAAACTAATTATAGTTTACATCACAAATGATACAAACTGCAGCTATTATCTAGCGTAGAAATCAGCCAGAGAACTGCTCCAGTCCCATTTACACTTAAGAACCCGGTGGAGCACAGAGGACCATAAACTGAGATGTTTTGGTTTATGCAGGAAGTGGGTCTAATAAATGTGGTGGTGAGACATTTCAGCAGTTAAGATGATGGCAGGCACACCAGCTATCTTTAGTGATTTCTTCTCAACACATTATTGGCAGTGAATATTCTGACTGCTTGGTGTTCTTAGTGTTGGTACCTGCTCATTGAACTTCTCCAGTTTCTCCAACTGTTCTCTCTGGTTTTTCTCTAGCTGCTCCATCTCCTTCTGATGCTTCATGGCCAGCTGCAGACACACCACGGACAGAGTGATACATAATGACCATTCAGGTACTGTTTCATACTATAAATAAGCAGTAGTTTACCTTTTTAACTTTTTACTTTTACTTGAGGTCACAAACACAGAAACCCATCCAAGAGGCTTTAGATTAATCTTGTGTTTGTTTCAGAAAATGTGCTGTAATGTACTTCTGATCTCTGCACACTTTGGTTGAGAAGTCCTGCACACCAAAGGACCAGTTGTATTACACAGTGTTTGTACAACAGCAAAATCAAGAAGGTTTGAGAATTTTAGTTACTGTGATCAGTAACACTTGTACTCGAGACTACTGTTGTTAAGAAAGCAAAACATGTTTATGTGCTTAATAATTAATAATATAATAAAA